TTGAAGGACATTGCAAATTAATACATTATAGATTATACTGTCATGACAAAGAACAAAACAATGTAGATACTCAGATTTGCCATGTAAATCATTGCTTAGCTATGTGAATATTTTATATTCCTTCTAGCTTGAAAATATGCATATGGTATTTTTAATCAATTAAAACTTAATATATTAACACAATATGTAGTTTTTATGGTTACTACAATTTGAAAGCCGTAATAAATTTTTTTTCACTTTCAGTTTGTTTGGGGGTTGTTTTTTTGGCAAAATAGATTTAAAAATGAAAATTCTGTACATATTGTGGTGCATGTAGAAATTTTTTCTTGTACAACCCACTTAAGTGGTACCTTACCTAGGGATGTATTAAATGGAACAGTTAATTTTACATTTATATTCAAATGCTCATTTTGCCAATATTCGTGGTATATTAGCAGAATTGAACATTTATAAGAGAATGAAAAACATAGTTTAAAACTCCTTAATTTATTTTTCAATAAAACCAAAATACACTGATATGCTGCAGGAACCCAGCAGAGGGAGCTCAAACTTTTTTTTGCTTTTTAACTTACTAAAGACAATTATTTTACCTTTTAAAAGCTGTTGGATTCTGAAGAATACTGTTGTTATTTAAGTAATAAAAATGTACTAGTAAAAATAACTGTACTGTTGCTTCAAATAATACATACATTCCCAAACAAAAAAGGTATCACTATCACTTATTTTATTTAGAAATGGTAAGCAGTTAACATTTACATTCTTTCCATTTACTTTTTCAATAGCCTTTACTTCCAAAAACTTTTTTGCCAAGATTTCTTGTTTCATTAAGGTGGACTAAATGAATATGGATACCTTCTAGCTACAAACATAAAACATGATAGTTAAAATATGACATTTTAAATTTAATTATTACATCTATAATAATAATCTATAATAATAAAAGGGTAATGTGCTAATTAGACTGGACGTCCTTCGTGATGAAGCTGACGCCAGAGGGAAGCCAGCCCAGGTCCCAGGTGCTGGAGGGAAGCCGGTGCCGGCAGCCAGGGGAAGGAAGGCCTACTCTTACACAAATTTTCGTGCACCGGGCCTCTAGTATGTAATAAAATAAACATATTCCCATCCACTCAATTCTCAGCCCTTCCACATACATAGATAAATACTATTCATTATTAGGTTTTTAAAATATATTCTTCCAAAATTTCTTCATGAATATACAGACATATGAATATAAAGTTTTATTCCAATCTGTTTTTCCTATGCAAAAAATAGCATATGATATATCCTATTCTGTATCTTGCTTTTATCACTAAACATCTTGGAAATGTTTCTGTAAGTCTATAGTGTAGTAGTAGACCTTACTCATTTTTTAAAATTTTATTTTAATGGATAGCAAGTATATTTTAAGAATATATCATGGGGCTCTGCCAGAGTAGCTCAGTTGGTTAAACTGATGTTCCAATACATCAAGATTGCAGTTCCATCCCTGGTAAGGGCACATATAAGAATCAACCAATGAGTGTATGAATGGGTGAAACAACAAATTAATTTCTCTCTCTCTTTCTCTCTCTCTCTCTCTCTCTCTCTCTCTCTCTCTCCTTACCTCTCAAATCAATTTAAAAAATATATAAATCATAATTTATTTACCTGTTCTTAGTTGAACTTTTGAGTCGTTTTGAGCACGTGCAGGAGGCAACTGATCAATGCTCAATGTTTCTCACATCAATGTTTCTTTATCTCTCAAAAACAAACAAAACAATTTAGAAGGGGAAAAAAGTTAATTTAGACACTTTTAGTTCAAGAAATTAGAAAAAATAGGGCAAAGTACTGGTGATCTATAAATCCCTGGCACGATTCCTGTTGTCTTCAATAATATTAATATAATGTCCACAGGGAAAAAGCACACACTGCAAGCTAACGCTGGTAATACTGTGAGCATTATGAAGATCTTACAGTTCTAAAACTACTAAAATACCAAGAAGTGGATTTTCATAGGTATGTTATTTATAGGGATATTTTTTGTGGTAAGTCCCTTAATACCTAAATCATGGAGATTCAAAGTGATGCACAATCATGAGTTAATCTTTTCAACACTCTGTTATAAAAAAGATTTTAAGAAGAATAGGGCACAAACCAATGACGTGTGTTATTCCAAAGTTACCAATTAAATCAGCGGCCAAACAAAGCTGCTGACTCTCCAGATGTATGACTCATTCTGCTTCATATTTCCAAACCTTATTTTAGTTTATCGCAATGATGGGTCTTTTTTGACATTTTTTATTGTTGGTGGTGGTGGTGATTGGCAGAAAATGAAAACGGCCATGTCTGAAGTTCAGAATCATCTGTTTTAGGGAAATAATAAACAAAAAATGACAGCACAAATACTCAAATGAAAGAAGTAAATAGGCACAGCAAAAAATCCATGGAGAAAATTTGCCGGTAGCTAAAAATACCTAGTAGTGAAGTGTAAATTGAGGTATCAAAACGTTCAATATTTGACACAATGATGAATACACTTAGGACTGTCTTTCACTTAGCTTTTTTTTTTTAACATAATGTCATACTTACAGGAAAGTTTCAAAAATAATACAAAGATTTAACTCCAGAATAACTTCCACCCAAATTTCCCAATTGTTAACTTTTATTGTCCTCACAATCTTCTTCAGTCTCTCTACACATGTGCACATGCACACACACACACACACACAATTTCTGAACCACTTAAGAATAAGTTTCAGATATGATACTTCTTTTCTGCTATACTCTACAATGTACATTTCCTAAAACCAAGGCTATTTTCTTATATAACCACAGTAAAATTTTCAAAATTAAGAAATGAATACTGATACAACACTGTCATTTACAGCCCTTATTCAAATTCCACCAATTGTCCCAATGATATCAATTTTAACAAAAGAAATTTAGGATCATGCTTTGCATTCAGTTCTTGTATCTCTTTACTTTCCTTCAATATATGGAAGTCCTAAGACTTTCTTTGCATTTCATGAGGCTGATATTTTTGAAGAGTATGGGACAATTGCTTTGTAGAATATCCCTCAAACGAAGGTTTGTCTGATATTATGATTAGATTCAAATTATGTACTTTTGGCAGGAATATAACAGAAATGATGCCATTTCCTTTTCAGTGCATATGCTGTCGATTTATCTCATTACTAGAGACCTGGTGCACGAAATTCATGCGTGGGGGTGGGGGCTGCTCAGCCCAGCCTGCATCCTCTCCAATCCAGGACCCCTCGGGGGATGTCCGACTGCCTCGCAATCTGGGACCACTGGCTCCTAACCACTCACCTGCCTGCCTGCCTGATCATCCCTAACCACCTGTGCCTACCTGCCTGATCACCCCTAACTGCTCCCCTGATGGCCTGATTGCCCCTAACCGCCTCTGCCTTGCCCCGCACCCGGGACCCAGGATTCCCTCCTCTGGACAGTCACAGGCACCTGGGACACAGGCTTCCCTCCCTCTGGCCAGCCACAAGCACCCAGGAACCGGGCCAGCTTCACCCGGGCCGGCCATGGCTGCAGGGGACTGTGGGCAGGTGGCTTTGCCTGGGCTGCAGCCACAGGTGCTGGTGCCTGGGACCACGGGGCAGGCAGCTTGTCCCTCTCCTGGGCCACAGGTGCAGCCGCTGGCACCTGAGACTGTGGTGCAGGTGGATTGTCCTTCTCCCGGACCACAGCCTGGCTGGTCCCCATTCCTCTCTCCCCAGTGTTGTGTGTCTGAGTCGTTATGGCATATTAGCTCTTTATTATATAGGATGGGTGAAAATAACCTTGATCATTTGGCTAAGGTGGCGTCTGTCATGTTTCTCCACTGTAGCATTATGTTACCTCTTATAATTAATAAATGCCTTTAGGAAAGATACTTTGAAATTATGTAACTATTCTATTAGTCCTCAAGCATTTACCCACTAGTGTTAGCATCAATTGATGACTACTGCCTGAACCAATTAGAATTAGTATCTTTTAATTAAACTTGTTTCTAAAATGTATACTAGGATGTAGGTGGGTTAGAAGAGGTCAATGGGGGAGGAAGGGGGACATATGTAATACTTTCAACAATAAAATTTTTTTCAATGTTATACTAGTCATGTTATGCTAAATGTTAGAATAGTCATAGGACTTTCCTTATAGATGAATTCTTACAACCTAAAAACACTATAATCAATGATAAGGAGGTAGAATACAATTTCAATTGAGCTAAGGACTGTCAATAGGCATGAGTGATGGGGGGATGAAAATGTTCTAAAACTGAGTTATGATGATGGTGAGTTACTAATTGAATCACTGAATCATATATCTGAAATGGGTGAATTTTATGTTATGTAAAATCTCATAAAATTAAAGGTATTAAAATAGGAAAAAAATAAGTAAGGATATAATAAAAATTATTTGAGCCAGAACACAGAAGCAAAAGCCAGCAACAATGTTAAGATTTATATAAATAACGAATAACATGTCTAAATCAAAGGTTCTTAACCTTCTTTATTTTATTTTATTATTTTATTATTTTTTATTGATTTTAGAGAGAGAGAGAAAGAGAGAGAAACATCAATAATGAGAGAGAATCATTGGCTGCCTCCTGCACGCCCCAACACTGGGGATGGAGTCCACAACCCAGGCATATACCCCGACCAAGAATCGAACCATGACCTCCTGGTTCATAGGTTGACACTCAACCACTGAGCAACAT